GGCTCCCTGCTAACTGGCTGCCACCTCCCTTTGTGGGCTTCCGTCTGCCGAAGGCTTCTAATACCCTGAGCGGTTTGTGACTCCAGAGCTTCCCTCCTCAGGCCTGAGATCTGAGGGCAGGGAACAGTGAGCACAGGAGCCAATTGGGCCACAGGGCCCCATGGACCTGCCCCCGCAGCTCTCCTTTGCCCTCTACGTGGCCGCCTTTGCACTGGGCTTCCCACTCAATGTCCTGGCCATTGGGGGCGCCGTGGCCCACGCCCGGCTCCGCCTCACTCCCAGCCTTGTCTATGCCCTCCACCTGGGCTGCTCAGACCTATTGCTGGCGGCTTCTCTTCCACTGAAGGCGGTGGAGGCCCTGGCTGCGGGAGCCTGGCCTCTGCCGGCCCCGCTCTGTCCTGCCTTTGCCCTGGCCCACTTTGCTCCACTCTATGCGGGTGGCGGCTTCCTGGCTGCCCTGAGTGCTGGCCGTTACCTAGGAGCCGCCTTCCCCTTGGGCTACCAAGCTGTTAGGAGGCCCTGCTATTCCTGGGGTGTGTGTGTGGCCATATGGGCCCTTGTCCTCTGTCACCTGGGTCTGGTCTTTGGGTTGGAGGCTCCGGGAGGCTGGATGGACAATACCACCAGCTCCCTAGGCATCAACACACCAGTCAATGGCTCTCCAGTCTGCCTGGAGGCCTGGGACCCAGCCTCAGCAGGCCCTGCTCGCCTCAGCCTCTCTCTCCTGCTCTTCTTTCTGCCCCTGACCATCACAGCCTTCTGCTATGTGGGCTGCCTCCGGGCACTGGCCAGCTCAGGCCTGAGTCACAGACGGAAACTAAGAGCAGCGTGGGTGGCTGGCGGGGCACTGCTCACACTGCTGCTCTGCTTGGGACCCTACAATGCTTCCAATGTGGCTGGCTTCTTGCACCCCGACATGGGAGGCCGCTGGAGGAAGCTAGGGCTCCTCACAGGTGCTTGGAGCGTGGTGCTCAACCCATTGGTGACCGGCTACTTGGGAAGGGGGATTGGCCGGGGGACATCATGTGGGACAAGAATGAAAGGGGGTACATCTCAGAAGTAGTAGCCTTTGCAGGGGGGCAGGAACATGCAGCAGAACCTCGCTGCCTCTCTAGGCCTCTTGTGGGGGCTGCTCCAAAGGAACTGCAGGGTGGCCTTGCCCTGGGGCACCCCTGGAGCCACTTATGGGAAGAACTGAGTCTGGCAAGATATCGTCCCACCTGGAGAGAAGAATGGAGGCCAGGAGCTGGTCGCAGGAGAAAGGTAAATTGACTTCCGCACACAGCAGCGGACTCTCCGCATCTGTCTCTCCTCTGCTTGGTCCTTACCTGCCTGCCTGTCAGTGTTATGGGCAGAGGCCTTTTACTAGTGGGAAAGTAGGAGGGAAGTTTGCTTCTAATCTAGAGGAACTGCCACTCTGATGATACATATTGGGAGATGCTACTCCAAAGTCATTTCCTAGGAAAGAACAACTTAATTTCTGACTGAGACAGGAGGCAAAATAATGACACTGTAATACCACTGGAAACTCACAAGAGGGCAGCATTAGAACTGTGAAGAGGAAGTTGGGGAGAAAGGCTGCTTCAGCAGGGGGAGGGAAAATATTAGCAGCACCAGAAATAGTCGCAAACAAATACAGAGCCTCTAATACGAGCCAGTCACCATCCAAGTGCTTGACTAGTGTTGTCTCATTTCATCCTCACACAGTCCTTTGATTCAGCCGTGCAGCTGGGCAGGTTGTTCATTAACTCAGTTCTAGCCTGTGCTTTGCTCACCAAGCCATGTGCCTGGCACAGGGGGGCCTCTATCCAGGGGAAGCAGCATCCTATCTAATAAAAATGGAATATGCTAATTGACCCTCACACCATTGCAAAGATGGTGGCGCCCACAGCCAATAAGGGAATATGCTACTAATTGATTACCTCACCCTCAAAGATGGCAGTGCCCACAGCCACAAGATGGCAGCACCCAGTCCCCTCAGCCCCACTGGGGCAGCAGGCGCGCGGCAAGGCTGG